GTGGTCGAGTCTAGGCACAGGTCCATAATCTGATTTGCCAGGTTAAAGAGATGTGCTTTTAGTCTAGATTTAAACTGAAAGTTTAAGTGTGTCTGAGGGCAGGACAAGCTGTCACTCGCATGAGATCGACCAATAGCAAACCAGAACCATCCAATCAATTCCCGATGGACAAAATCAAATTTTCTTTTTCGAGAAGCCATTTCACTTGGATATGTCGCAATAGGGAAGAAAAGACTATCGCAATTTTAGTTTCATGCCAACTTTAAAGCTACATTGTCACCTGTTTTTCTCAATCAGGCCCCTATTCAGTGGGAAGAGAGGAACGTCACCGCCATCCAAGGTCCTGGAGGCAAATGGATGATCCCTTCTGAGGCTAAAGAGTCGATGGACAAAAACAAAATTGGGTTAAAAGGTAAACTTGTCGACTCTCTCACTTCAGTCGAATCATTATAGTGTTAACGAAACTCACACAGTCAATTTCGATTATATTTCAGGCCCCCTGAAAACGCCCATTGCTGCAGGACACCCGTCCATGAACCTGCTGCTAAGGAAGACCTTCGACCTGTATGCCAATGTGCGTCCTTGTGTGTCCATCGAGGGCTATAAGACGCCTTACACCGATGTGGATCTGGTCACCATTAGAGAAAACACAGAAGGAGAGTACAGTGGGATTGAACACGTGGTATGTATGTGTGCCCGTCTGTATTTCAAACTATTACAGTAACCCAACCAAAACAGAGCTAGTTGTTCTTATTCTTTTGATTTCTGCTGCAGAGATCTGCAGTTGCAGGAAAAAGTATGTGAATACTTGGACATTTTACATGGATTTATGTATTAATTGAATTGATTAATTTGGATCTGACCTTTTAAATAAGTCACGCCAATAGACATTATCTGCGTCCGAATTTGCATACTATATAGTAGGTACTACATTTGGTTTTGAAACTTGCTTCATGACCGTTGAAGTACGTTCTATATAGTGTGAATGAAATTCAGAGGCACTACACCCGTCATGTCATGTGACCTACGGTGTCAATTGCATCGCTTCACTGCCATTCACAAATCCTCTCCCGTGGCCTCATGGGATAGTAAAGTGTCCATTGAATGCACTTTTCAGAATCTAGAAGTAGTTAGGACTGGTTCACACGCAACACGTTTTTGAGACTCAGATCAGTGCAATGAAAAAAAAAAAACCCCGCAAAGGTCTAGAGATGTTTTTTTTTTTTTTAAGTTGAACTTTTAACTTGAGGGCCACATTTTTAGAACTTCGCATCATGCGCAAAAGACGCGAGCGCAATGGTCACTAGTGAATGTTCACTTTGAAAAACAATGGAAAAGCAGCGTAGTGGAATGGAAACATTCGCTCTGTGTAAACGGTATTTTTCGCCTACTGTTTTGTGAATACTTTGAATTCGGACATACTAGTTGGCTCACATACTGTTCTTTTGCCTACTATGTAGTATGGAATTAGGCATATTTGGACGCAGTGATTATTATTTTTTTGGACCATTCATCATTACTAAGTATTCCGCAGTTTTCCTGATATTTGGTGTGAATCGCTGTCTTAAGGTCACGCCAAAGCATCTCAGTCAGGTTGACATCTCAGGATATGGGTTCATGTACTTTTTCCTGCAACTGTATATATATATATTTATACCCCTTTAGTTCTTTAGGCCTAGTATACAACAATAGGATGACATTTGACCTTTGAGGTCCTGATTGGCTCCCTTCACAAATGTCAAAGGTCATACTATTGTCATCTAATGCTATCTTAACCAGTTTTTCACGCAGTGCTAGCGGGAATTCAGTGGGCAAAGCTCATATTTCAGTGCTGTTTATTCTTTAGGTAGGTGCCACATGGTTGCTATAAATCAGTTGTCTCTGGTCCCACTCCATAGTGTGTCAAAGCGTTACGTGAAATGACCTTCAGGTCGTCACATTCCATTCATCTTCCCTTTGTCTGTTCACGTTATTCAATGTTTAAACATGTACACTACCATTCAAGAGTTTGGGGTCAGTACAATTTTTCTTTTGGATGAAATAAATAGATTTATTTTGTAAGGATGAATTAAAATTAATTTGATCAAAAGTGATTGTAAATACTTTAATAATTAAACTTTCTGTTCATTAAATAATCCTGAAAAAAATATATCATGGTTTACACTAAAATATTAAAGGGATAGTTCACCCTAAAATGAAAATGAGGTCGTCATGTACACACCCTGGTATTGTTCTAATGCCCATCTTTATTTTATGAACCACAAAAGGAGAGAACCCCCCCCCCCCCCCAAAAAAAAAACTCGTCCATATAATGGCAGTGAACAGCGAGCAGCATCAAGCTTTTTAAAAGACGCAAAAATATCACTGAATAATCCCAAGCGTCACGTGCCGTATGTTTGTTTGGTTTGCACACACCCTTTTTATTATAGGGTGAACTATCTGTTTCATCAGCAATAATCAGCATATTAGAATAATTTCTGAAAGATCATGTGACTGAAGACTGGAGTAATGATGCTGAAAATTCAGCTTTGATCACCGGAATAAATTACATTTTTTAAAATATTCAAATACAAACAGTTATTTTTCAATTTAAATATTTCACAATATGACTTTTTTACTGAATTTTTGATCAAATAAATGCAGACTTGAGCATAAGAGACTTCTTTCAAAAACATAAAAAGCACCAACCCCAAACATTTGAACAGTAGTCTAAATTATAAAAAAATTATAGATCAAGTCCGATGAATGAAACTTATCTTTGTATAGCAGTACACCAATAGTTTGTTTAGCAGTCATCATATCTTGCCCCTTTGTATGAACTAACCTGACTCTGTTTTTTAAAACCTAAACTTGGTTTTGTCAAGATAAAGTGGTTTGAACAAAATCAGTTGTGGTTACCACAATATTAAACGTGTTCTATTTTCACCTGAATCAGATTGTGGATGGAGTTGTGCAGAGTATTAAACTGATCACGGAGGATGCCAGCAGACGCATCGCTGAGTATGCATTTGAGTACGCCAGAAATAACCAAAGAGCCAGCGTCACGGCTGTTCACAAAGCCAACATCATGTGAGTTTCACCTTGACTAGAAATTTCACTTTGTAGCTATGACAAATTACTATATAACAGGAGTTTTTTTTACTGGTAACAAATGTCTTATTGGATGTAAAATAATTTGAATATATAAAGATGCTGAATTGAGTGATGTCTTCTAGGCGAATGTCTGACGGTCTGTTTCTGCGGAAGTGCAGAGAGGTTGCTGAGAATTTCAAGGATGTGAAATTCACAGAGATGTATCTGGATACAGTCTGTCTCAATGTATGTATACAAGACAACTTCTTTCATTAGGCCTTTTCTACTCATCTTGCAACTCTGAAATGCTTTTGTTGTGCTTTTTTTAATATATATATATATATATATATAAGGGGTGTAATGGTTCTCGGTAAAATAAAATCGAACCACACTGTTCGGCACGCACTTGTACCGCGGTTCATCTTAAATCTGACGACGCATCTATAATATGGTTTATTGAAAATAACAAGGTGTAAAACAGACAGACAAAGTTCTGTTAATGCATGTTTCTATCGATGGATACTGGGTTCCCAATACATTACAACAGCGATATCCCAAAAAAAAAAAAAACTGTTGACAAAACTTTGGGCCTGTTTAGATCTGATCACTTCTTGCATTTTACATTTTTCATATTTTCAACATATGACGCAAGTTGTTTTGGCAACATTTCTCATTTCATTCAATTTAAGTTTTTCAAGTATAAGTTTTTCATCTAATATTAAAATGGGAACGTTTTTCAAGTTTAAAGGTGCTGTATGTAAGTTTTTGACTGTACTAAAGCTTAAAAATACCATCTGCTACAGCCAGTTATTCTACTTTGAAATGTGCGTTCCATGTCGGAATGTCTGTTTTCGTTTTGGTCTGTGCCATACCGCACGTTGCCAATTTACCCAATAGTATTTCGCCACCACAGGTTGCCAGTTGGAAGCATATTACAGCCATGGAAGCCAGCGAACAAACTGGGTCAGAGATCGCAGATTCTTTATTCTTTATTTTCATCAAATCATTAAGATTTTTGCATTGTGATTATTCACTAGATGGTGCAAGATCCCTCTCAGTTTGATGTGCTGGTAATGCCTAATCTATATGGCGACATCTTGAGGTGAGTCGGTGTAAAGCATCATATAATAATATTAAACGTGATATGATTCTCTTTAGACTGCAACTCTCACCAGCCTTTGGTTTGTCTTTCAGTGATCTGTGTGCTGGATTGATTGGAGGCCTTGGAGTCACTCCCAGCGGGAACATCGGAGCCAATGGTGTTGCCATATTTGAATCGGTATGTGTTGGATGCTGCAATAGCTTTACAATGGAGTGATCAATTAGTATCATTCCATTTATCATAATTCTTGTTTTTTGTGTGTGTTAGGTACACGGAACTGCCCCTGATATCGCAGGCAAAGATCTGGCAAACCCTACCGCCCTTTTGCTGAGTGCCGTCATGATGCTGCGTCACATGGGACTGCACGGTTACGCTAAAAAGATTGAGACCTCCTGCTACGACACCATACGGGACAAAAAGGTAGGATCAATTATTAGTGATCTTTGGGTATGATATGAATATGAATTTCCACCATCAAGACAGATCTTGATACTTACATCTGTGACCTGTTTTTATGTATTCCAGCTTCTGACCAAAGACCTTGGCGGAAACTCCAAGTGCTCAGAGTTCACCGATGACATCTGCCGAAGAGTTAAGGACATGGAATGAGGCGTTTCTAAATGTCTATGTTTGGATCTCATGCCTAAAGAACTGAGAGTTAAAAAACATGAAATTAATCTTCGTATCATTCTGATGTCTCCGCACAATTCTACTAAGTGTCAGCATTTTTGTTTCTCCAGAACCGCAAAGCACTGTCTTAAATTCTTGTTCTACGGTGACTGTATTTGTGAGCTGTTTTAATCTGTCAAAAAGGAACTACATAATCTAAGATAAACCGTATTTATTGACTGGACATTTTCTCTGGTTAAATATTGACAACTTGCCTTTCTGTCACATGACAGGAATACTCTTGTCCAAGTATTAGGGGCTGAAATACATACGTTTTTTTCTCTTTAAAGTGTGTTAAATCCGTTAAAAAAAGAGTGAATAGATGTTTCAAATTTTTTTAGCTTGAGCTTTTACATCAGCTATGAACTTTGCATTATGGTTAACAATTGATATAGTTCAAACAGCTGTTGACCTTTGCAGTGTCAATTGTGAAATGACTGTACCATCAAGACATGACTGTGGTCGGAATATATACGTCTATTTTTTATGGGCAAATCAGCCTATGTCTTAATTTTTACAGAGCACATTTATACGATCATTATCACACTGGATAAAGATGAGACATTGCCATATACAGTATATCCACAAAGCAAGCAAGTTTTATTTTTAAGATCTGATCAAAACATACAGGAATATTAAACGTAATATAACATCAAACTAACACTGTAAGACAATTAACAGTATGTTTAAAAATAGTCATTAAAAAATAGGAGTAAATTATGTTGTTAAATAAATAAAAAAAACATGTTCCTGCAATCTGTCTTGGCAAAAAGCAACAGTATCTTTGATAGAGATACAGCCAGTCTGGAGGTCTTCTATTCTCTGTAAAAACTCTGTATTTCACTGTGATACTTCTGCAACACCACTGGGCGACGTAGTTTCATTGTAGGGCCTGAAAAAAAAAGTATATTCTATTATCTTTTGGAATGAACAGTCGTGCAGGTTCAATACAAGTTAAGATCCAGATCAAGGGCGTAGATTTGGTTTGAACATTGGGGGGGTTGTAATGTTTAATATAGTTAAAAAAAATTGTTCTCCATATTTTTCTTGTGATCATGGTATAAATATTGGGGGGGGTTATCTCCCCCCCAACCCCCCCATAAATTACACCCCTGATCCAGATACATTTCTCCACCCAGTTTATAAAGACAAGCAATGGACATCTATAGGGAGGTATTTCAGCACTCACCTAGTTCTCCTCCAACAATTGAGAAATCTTTCCCTAATATGGTCCACTTTTGTATGCGTTGTGCGTTTGAGGTTGCTTTTGAATTGACCTGTGCAATACCCTCTTCAATGGACTGGTACACTAGCTTGTCTTTTCCTCCAATGATGTCTGATACTTTTGTCGATCGGCTACCAAGTCGCTGACAGTATTCCACAGCCTCCAAGCTAAGAATGTCTGTAGACTCTGTGGTCTCTGGATTGATTGTGCACTATCCAAGGAAAGGAAGAACAGAATAACCTAAATGATTTAAGAGTTGTTGAAGCCAGAACTTTTCTTAAAGGATAGTTTACCTTTAGCGTTAGCAGCATGGACAGAAATTTCATTTTGTCTCCGATTAGCATAGCATTGCTGATGATTGGCAACTGCTGTTTTACTGCATCCTCTATGGGAAGTGGGGGAACGTTTTCTCCTCCGGCAGTGATAATGAGCTCTGAAAGGAAAGAGATTGAATGGAAATGACCTTTAAAGCTAACCTAAATCCAATTATACAGTACCATCAAAGCTAGTAAAATGTGTAGGGTTAAAAATAGCATCCTTTACCTTTTATTCTTCCGGCAATGTAAAGAAAGCCATCTTCATCTACCTTTCCCAAGTCTCCAGAGTGGAGCCATCCATCTTCATCCAAAGCCTCCTTTGTTTTATGCTCTAGGTTGAGGAAGCCCATGAAGACATTTCGGCCCCAAAAACACACTTCTCCAATTCCGTCAGCATCTATGTTTACTAGTTTGTATCTGCAGCCTGGAACCACCTTACCACAGCTAGAAGAGTTCAAGGAAACGTTACACAGTGAACTTGATTATTGACCTTCAAGTTAAAATTATTCAACCTGTAAATTGAGGTAAGAGGGCTTGCCTTAAAAAGCGGAACACTTTCGGTCCAGACATAAAGTGGGGTCCTGAGCTTTCACTCATCCCGTAAGCTTCATACAGTCGAATGTTGAGACCGAGGAAGAACTGAAGGGTTTCGCTTCCAATAGGCGCAGCTCCCGAAAAGAATTTCACACAACTGGAGAAGCCCAGCTCGGCACGAAGCTTTTGTAAGACCAAGCTGTCAGCAAGAGTGAAGAGGAATGACTTCTCCTCATCCCTGATTTGAAGACAATGAGCATAAAAACATAAAGGTCCAAATAACATGAATGTAACATACAGAGAATGATATACAGTACTTTAAAATGATTTATGTACTTGGTAAGCCTTTTATTAGCCTCCAGACTAACAGACATGGCCCATGTCACCAGTTTCCTTTTCATGTATCCACACTGTGATATGCCTTCTTTTATCTTTTCCATAATTTTCTCCCAAACACGAGGGACGCCCATGTGGGCCGTAGGGTTTACCTCTCGAAGGGTGTCTACCAAACTCCCCTAAAAGGGAAGATAAAACAAGTGAGCAATGTAGAATAGACTTCAATACTTTATTTGACCGTGTGGCAGTAGTCCAGTCTCAAGTCCAAGACCATATTTTCATGACGGACTCGGCCTTCACTTGGACTCAACCCTCTTCAGGTGTCTGTCTTGACCTGGGGCCAGTTGCATAAGCTTAGCCACTATGTTAAGACTGTCTTAAGAACTCATTTGTCCAACTAGAAATTAATCAAGAGGTAATCAGTCTTACTTTTCTGATTCAAATTTGACAGATCTACCTTTTTACCAGTCTTGAAGAAAACAAAAATTAACGACTAAATTTCAAGACTAGTCTAAGCAGTTTATGCAACCGGCCCCTGGACTCGACCTACTCAGGTCTTGACCTGGACTCGAATGAGCTGGTCTAAATTACAACACAAGTTACAGGATCTAAAGCAAAAGTTCCACCTTCCAGTAGAGTGTGCAAAATGAATAGAAACTTCAGGGTAGGCGTGCTGGATCTAAACTCTGCAGGAAGGTGGCCCTCCAGGAGCAGTACTGGACACCCCAATCTAAAGCTAATCAAGAGTCCTGTTTTTGAGCAATTACCTTTAGAGCATCTGGCTGAGCAAAGAAAACCTGCTCCCCCCACTGGATCCCTGTCCAGAGATCGTAGATTTGGGCAGCAATATGGCTGAGAGGAAGGTAGCTGACCAGAGACTCTTGCCTTATTTCAGCTGACTCCATATCTCCAGCCCTGCTTGCATGATGGGCTGTCCATGTGATCTATCGGAGTCCAGAATTCAAAATTGTCAGTAATCTACAACACAACATTGCCACTATATTGTGAATGTTATTTTTTTCATAGCTGCTTACGTTGTCATGGCTTAACATCACTCCTTTGGGTGATCCGGTTGTTCCAGATGTGTAAATAAGTACGCAGCACTGATTGGCTTTCTGGTTACTGATGACTTCATCTAGTTCTTGATCAGAGATTTCCAGTCCTAGTCCCATGAACTCTTCCCACTGTCCAAAGACAAGCAGTCACCGTAAGTCTTTGGTTAAAAAAATGTCAACTCAGACAGGTCTCTGTTTATCCAACACTCACCGAATAGAGATTGGGCATCTTCTCCTTCAAAGATCCAGAATACTGTACTATGGCTTTTAAGTGTGGCAGCTTATCCCTTACCTAACAATAAAAACAGGAGTATTAATCAGTTTGGTCATTGATTATGAGAAGGTCCAGGTTGAGAAAATAAAGTACATCAAATTTTACCTGTAAAATCTTATCCAGCTGCTTTTGATTTTCCACAACAATGACATTGGCTCTTGAGTCATTAGCGACATAGAGGCAGGCATCTGGTGAGTTTGTGGTATAGATCCCTGCCATTATGCCCCTAACATAAACAAAGAATATAGATGTGAGGGCAGGGATTCTAGCCCTAATATTGCTATTTATTTAGTTTGCTTCAGTTTGAATTTGATATTTATAGGCCCATGTAAGAGCTTGGCCAATGTGTAAATGGGCTTTTCATCCTTTATGTTGATAAGACAACCAAGGGTCATTTTTAATAATCTTGGGTTATCTTGTTCCATGTTTCACAAGAAGTACATTTACATGCAATTTTAGATATCAGTCAGACTAAGGCTGCATCCGAAAGCTTAGGCAGTTGACTTGTTTCCTTGCTGCCCTATCAGGCAATGACTTTGCAGGCAGCGTTTGCGCACAAAGGTACCTCACGTAACTGATTTCGGACCGACTTCAGAGGCAGCATAACGCTTTAATGATCCACAACAAAATAGAGAGAGCTTTGGTAAAGGCTAAGTGAATATTTAATTACTACAATACTGATTTCTCGCTACAAATGACATCAAAAGTGAAAAAGATTGGCCAAAAACCTATTTACTCATCTAACCACCAACCGCAACTTTCAGAATCGATCTTTATTTTTTAGCTTAAAGGGTTAGTTCACCCAAAAATTAAAATTCTTTCATCATTTACTCGTGTCGTTCCAAACCCGTAAGACTTTCGTTCATCTTCGGAACACAAATAAAGATATTTTTTATAATAATTGTTTGATGATAAAGTTCATAAAGAGATCGTAAAAATAATCCATATGAATTGAGCTGTTTAGTCCAAATTTTCTGAAGAGACATGATCGCTTTATATGATGAACAGATTTAATTTAGCCTTGCATTTAGGCCTCAACCTTGCATGCTTGACGCACAAGAACAAACCTCATTGGTTCTCGCACGCAAGCAAGCATTTTTGAGCTTCTGTTTACCATAACTGATGTGTGCGTTGATGAATTTAAAGCGATCGTGTCTCTTCGGAAAAGGACTAAACCACTCAATTCATATGAATTAGTTTTACGATCTCTTTATTAACTTTTTGAACTGTCCAAAGTGGTAGTTGTGTAGACTGTCAATGGAGGGACAGAAATCTGTCAGGTTCCATTTAAAATGTCTTTATTTGTGTTCTGAAGATGAATGAAAGTCTTACGGGTTTGAAACGACATGAGGGTGAGTAAATACTGAACTTATTTTAATTTTGAAGTGAACTATCCCTTTAACTGTCACAGAATGGAATGCACAGGATGGTGGGATATCATAGGCAGTGAAGGATACGTCTATGCTGCCTTTAAAATTCGATCAGATAAAGGCATCTCAAGAGACAGGAAGTGAAGCTAACATTGGATTCGGACGTGCCTTGATGCCTTCTTACCTTGGAATGCATCCTCCTAAGGCAGCATTTTTTAGCTTACGGGATGCAGCCAAAAACGAAATAATTTCAAAATCATTACTTTTTAAAATGCCATGTTAACACTTTAGTTAGCTGGTTTTTGTGAATTTGGACTAACAGACCTAGATAATGAAATTGTAGCTTGGCTTGTATACAATTGTATAATCGTGAAACAGCTGTCCTTTGAATTGTGCCCATGACACAAAAGACAAAAGGTGATGCACAGCATGTATTTAATTATTTAAATATTTGATTTAAGCATTGTGTCATGTATACTTGGACAGAGAAAGTAACACTGTAGATTGACTACGCAAAAAACAGCTGTACCTTGATTATGCACATATAAACATATAAGTATGACATTTTAGGCATAATGTAAACAACCTACAGGTATTTCTCACCCTGCAAACACAGTTCCAATAGCAGCGATAAACCACTCCGCAGAGTTAAATCCCAGGATGGCTACACTGTGGAACCGCTCCAGACCAAGCTAGGAGAATTGTCAAATATCACTGTATTAAATCTAATCCGTAAATTCCATGCATATGACTTATGAGAATGAGCTGTGCAAATAAACTTTGTAACATAAACATGAAATTAATGTTTAAAAATACGTTCCAAGATCACCTTTAGAAAGCTTTTGGCGGCCATTCGACTGAGGTGATAATATTCCGAAAAGGTCACTTTTTCCCATTCGTTTCCTCTTTTGGTTGCCAAAGCAGTCAGCTTCCCATACTTCTGAACTGAGTTGGTAAACATCTGATATACAGTGATGGGCTGTTCTGGGCAAAGTTCATCTATTCTCAGTTGAACTGATCCACTGGCTTCTGTAGTCCATAGGGATTGGGCTGGGGCCAATTCCACACCTGCCAGAACCTTCTCAATGCTCTTTTTCTCTGCTGCATTGAATAGGAGATAATCACAGTTCAATGACTAAAAATCTGATGATGTGAATGAATGGTCAGAACATAATCCTGATATCCAAACTCTGAATATGATAAACAAAAGAGTTACTCTACTTACACAATCCTTCGCCAACATCCTGCTCCAAAAGGTTTGTCATGGGCCCTAAAGGTGAACAGTCTGAGCTGAAATGCAGAGTGCTGGCCTGTTAGATAGCAGTGGACTCCCTGCGGACAGACCCAGCTCTTGCTGCCGTACCCATGAATCACATGGCGCAACTGCTCAACAGTATTGTAAGCCCCCACAATGATGGGTTTTGGTTACTAAGTCCTAAAGCCCCTGCAGCTTTGTTGGCAGACGGGAACTCACAAAATGTGTGAGAAACTAGTTCCCATCAGTCATAGAAACTTCTCTTTTCTTCACTACGTCAGTTCTTGATCTTGACGTAACAGCCACAAGTAAGAGGGCACATTAGGTTGCTTTAAAGCTGGCATCCCTGCAAAATGACCGGCTTGATGCTCTTTGTAAACGAGTGCTAGAACTGGCAGCTGGGCTGATTTCATTTCCGCTGCACTTTTTGATTTAGAGTGTTTGGTGAAAAGCACAAACACCAAGAGATTTTTCCAAGTAGTGTTCTGCCAAACTCTTTTTAAACAAGACATTTCGCATGTTATTCTTACCTATGGCAACTGTAACTGAAGATAACTTCACACAAATTCTAAAGAAACTAAGTGTCCCATTGTTAAAGGAATATTCAAATTTCGCTTCTTTAAAAAAAATCCGTAAACAATGGACAAATACATTGATATTTGATTAATTTTGATTCAAGTAAAATGATGAAGCCATCGCAGTGCAAGGTAATTCAACATATCTTATAACATTCATTCACATACCTGTTTCCAAGCTGGTTACTGGCGGGATCAGTTTGCTGGTGTGTTTGAGTGCTGGTGCTCATGCTGACTACAGGACTGGGATGAACTACTCAAAATCTCTCCGTTCTTGGCATAATGAGGACAGAATGAATAACTCCATGAGGCAGTGTCACAATTCTCCAAGGGAAAAACTTAAGCTAGGTGCTCATGCACATATGTTGAGTTTCTAGGAAATGTTTTGAAGTTCTTTGAAAGTTGGCAAAAGTCATGTTCAGTGTGAAATGTCTTTAGGTGAAAACACTTAATGCATATTAATGGGTTTTGGGGGCTTTTATATGCAAATGTCTTACAGTCCATTGAATTTTAATAAAACAGCCCACTCAACTGAGTTTATATTAAGTTATTCTAAGATATCTTAATCGAAATGAATTTACTATTACAAATGTGATATTGATTACATTTTTGTATTTCAATTTTTATTTTAGTTTCATCACCTTTAGGTGAAGAGAGAAAGAGTCATATTTTCTCTTCTGTGAATTTCTAATAGCCTAACACAAATATTTCCATGATAAGAAAAGGATAAATCGATCAAAAATCTAGTCAAGATAGAAATGTACTATTTTATTAATGTTAATGTGATTTTGAAAAACATTTTTTCAAGAAACATTTCTATTAAATAATGTCTATAAAATGTTGTGTGTTACCATCAAGGAAAGAGTAATGATATTTATTTTATTTACCCCTTGTGTTAATGTACACATCTTAATCTTTTTTTTTTTAAGTTTTAAATGATATTCTTCAAAGTAATGGTATTTTAAGTAAGTCGTACCACATGCCATTTTTAAACCTGAACTAATGTTTTCTTGTCATTAAAAAGTTAAAAATTAGACTTGCACGATGATCTTCAGAGGTTTTTGCTATAATATAATTTTCATGTTTTATGTTTGTTTTATGCATGCTGTATTTTTAAAATATTAATAAGCAGTGAAGCAGTTGTTAAAATTTTATTAAAATAAATAATTATTCTAACAATTATTATCATCATATTCTAAGAAATAAGAAATAATAATAACATTAAGGCAAACTATACTTAGTTTTTCTTTGCTTTGATTTTCTACTTTTAAATGAGGATTTTTTTCTTAAAGCTGCAGTCCGTAGCTTTTTTTTGGGTTCAAAAATGATCCAAAATACATATTTGAGAAAACCAGCCAGTGTTCAAAACTCTCTGCTTGCCTTAGCTCGATTCAAAGCGGGATAAGCTTGTAATAATGTTTTTAATTCCAGTGGTACTGGTGGATTTCCACGGGAGATTCGAGCATGTTTTTGCGTCATTACGTCACATCTGTACACACACATCTGTACACATAAAGAAGGAGTCTCGGCTATAAACTATATTGCGTGTGCATGTTGGAGGTGGAGATTTATAGCCTTGTCTCACAGCACTTGATATATTTAAACGTATTAATTTGATGGCGGATCCAGAAAGGTTCAAACAACAATCATCAGTGACAACTAGAGATTCACCCGCTGTAAAATGCAAAAGACTTCGTTTGGACTTTGGAGTGGCTACAGAAAAAAAGAGACTGCAACCGGACCCATGCGAAAACAAGGATAATATCGGAAGGACATTAGCCTACATGTAGTCACGCTTGCTTACGTTGTTAACATTAACAATTTGAGAACAAAGTATAATTTGCACGGTTTTGCGTGATATGATAACTTATAAGCGATTGTTAGATTTAATCAGCGTGATTTACTGCAATGTCAGAACCAGAACAAAAGTGGATGTTTCTTACTAGTTCAGATGACATTTTCCGGTGAAAATTCTTCTGCTGGTCATACGTCCAAACAGAATAATCTGTGATTCTGAATGCCAGTATCCACACCGACACGGTGACTGACAGCCTCACAGTCTCCTCAAACATTGTGTTCATCCGCGCTGTGCGGCGGTGTTGAAGTACAACTCACGTAAAGTTGATAATTCCGCGAATGACTGCAATAGCAGATTTCGAACAGAGATGGCGACAAAGAGGAAAAATGCCGGACTGCAGCTTTAAAGCTTTAAAACCCCCAGTGTTAAATGAACATCGCCAGTGCTAATTTAACACTGTGACATCAGGATCACTGATCCAGATAAACATTTATTTTTTACTTTGTATCCAATTATCTGTTTAATTGCATTGTTAATATATATTCTGAAAAGTATAGCAATATCCCCAAAAATTAGCGTTATGTTATTGATTATGGAGCTACAAGCATAATGAGAGGAGACCTATTAGGGTTATGTTAACCGACCAAAAGTCCACAGCTTGTCAAACCACATTGAATTTTGTATGAAGTTTAGCCTAATAAAAAACTTTTTTTTTTCTAACCGTGTTGGGATATGCAAAATTCATGCTATATGATATTCGTAACCATAAGCAGAAAAAGTAAATAGTAGGTTAACAATGATTTTAGTATTAGTGTTTTCTCTCAAGAAAGGAAAGTGTCTTACCTGTAATAAGGTTCACTTGCTGCACTGCAACACTTGGTGTTGAATAGCGCTGGTAAACTTTAGGACGCTTTTGTAGGGTTTATAGATTAAACATCCACTTTATCAAGCTCTCTGGTTTGTTCTCGTTCTGAGGTAGGCTACCTATCTTTTAGTAGTGAGGGAAACCGCTACAAATGATTCAGAGGGCGAGTCGATCCCAGTGATTCATACTGAACCACAAACCCATTTGACCTCATGTAAAAGAAACGAATCAAGAGAGTGAATAGTTTGCTAACCGGCCGTCACTGGCATGCATGTAGGCCTACATACATACAGTTATTTGTTTATTAGCTGAATGGAAAGAGTAGGGCCAAAATAGGTGAGGGCATTTGACCTTAACAATTACAGCTTATTAATTTGCCTTTTTTAGGGGTCAAAGAGCTTTCCTCTCGCTTGTAACGTAAAAGAGTCGACTTCTCGAAGCTTTCCAACACGGTGTAGCTATTGTGGCATCTGGTGGTCAAATATAGTCGCTGGTTTCACATCTTAAAACAAAACAAAGGAAAACATCAATTCATTTTAATCATGCCCTTGTTTTTTCACAAGCATCAAGCATATAGGCTTCATTATAGACATTGGTTTAAAATAATGTCTGCCCTCTAGAGTTTAAAAGTATAGTTTCAAAAATAAGGCTAATTATTTATTTAGATGTAGGCTAATGAATGCAATCTTCAGATAAGTATAGTAATTTAACCAACACTTATAATGTTCATTTACAAATAGGTAGGCAGCCTACTGTTCATACATTGCCTAATGCTTTTTTGATTTTTATTATTTTAAATCTATTAGTAAATGAATAACATTATCTAAGATTAATGGAATGGAAGATCTAAAGATCTAAGTATTATTAGGCTAATTGTTGTGTTATGTACTTTAGGAAGTCTTTGTCATAAGCTTTCACTGCACCAGATGTCATGTTTCACCAGTTGTCTTTAAATGACTCATTAAACCTGCTTTTAAACGACAACCCAGCCTGTGAGCATGTTATTATTGCTGGGTTCTACTTAAATATGAAAACTAGAGATTGTAAGCTTTCAAATGATATATAGTTTGTCAATATTACTTTAGGTTTTTACTTAGATATTATTGTTTTAAATATATAATGGCAAACGTCCCACCGGGATGGTGTTGACACCCATGAGTTTAGTATACCAAAAGTACAATTGCAGAGTATTTTTATTAAGCACATAAATATGTAAATGTATAGAATACTTAGCTCAAAAAAATCTATTTCAAATACATTTTCATAGATATTTTTGTTCACTAGGGGAGAACTTTATGTAGGACATGTTTTGTCCCTTAGTGATATGTTTGAGTTTTGATCACAGGATAGATTTTAATGTTTGAAATGGCGACTGTGCTTTGTGTGATGAAAAATGTGATCAAATCAATTTGATTCTACCTTTACCTGTGTGTGTGCGCGTGTTTAATATCTCTAACGGCCTTTAACATTAAAACACATAGGCTACAGGAACACTAAGTCCTGTATTTCTCGGCGATTATTTTTGTTGTTGAAAACTTCGGTAAAACTTAAGTATTAAGTATTAAACTTAAGTATTCCTGTGTCTGCTACATGTGATACAGAGGACAGAGCGCCTCTTTCCGCCTATTAAAGGGTTAGTTCACCCAAAAATGAAAATTATGTCATTAATGACTCATAACAAATAACACGTCAGCAGCGTCTTACGTCAATAGCGTCACTGAACGCGGATTGACAACAGAACCGGAAGACAATGCTGAATAAAGTCGTAGTTTTTGTTATTTTTGGACCAAAATGTATTTTCAATGCTACAAGATATTCTAACTAACCCACTGATGTCACATGGACTACTTTGATGATGTCTTTATTTCCTTTCTGGACAAGGACAGAATACCGTAAAAACATTTTGAATGGAGGGACAGAAAGCTCTCGGACTAAATCTAAAATATCTTAAACTGTGTTCCGAAGATGAACGGAGGTCTTACGGGCTTGGAACGGCATGAGGGTGAGTCATTAATGACATAATTTTCATTTTTGGGTGAACTAACCCTTTAACTACTCACTCCAAAAGTATGTAACACTTTTAATACATTCAACTGTGTATAGAACATTTAAACATTTTAAAGATCAAGTCAGGTGGTTTACGGGCTCTAACAGAAAATCTTTTCACATTTGGGGAAGAAGCAGTAGTAGAGTGGCTCAACAAGCTTGGTTACATGCTGGTCTAGAGCATTTGGTTCGATGTCATTGGATGTTAAAGGCTGTGTCCCTTAACATCCAGTGTTTGTGATGTACTGTTCTCTGCTGGCAGTGGTTCTGTGTTTTTTGTAATTTCTGGATGACAGTCTAACATTTGATCTGCATGTCTTGCAGCTTTGTGAACTGTCCACCTGAACCATGTACGACACTGGTCCTGACTGAGAAGAAACAATTCCCTTTTTTCCACTTCTCCTCTCCCCGTCGATAATCTCTGACGAGCACCGAATCACCCACATTGAAGTCTCTGTGTTTTGCATGGAGGGCACGGTAAGAACATTGAACTTTTTGTGTCTGCTCCACAGTCAGTTTCACACTTGGTTTCAGTAGATCCAGCCGTGTCCTCAATCTGCGATGGAAGAATAACATTTCTTTTGTTGTGCTGTGTGGTGAATTCACTGTAACTAGAAAGAGTCTAATCTCTGCTGTAATGGTACTGGTTCTTTGGATGCTTTCAGTTAATGTTTAAAAGTCTGAACGAAACGCTCAACCAGCCCGTTGGTGGTTGGGTGGAATGGTGCCGAACGCACGTGTTTAACACCATTTGTTTTCAGAAAACATCCAAACTCCTCTGAAGTTAATTGTGGCGGGCCATTGTAGCTAACTAGTGTTTCAGGTATACCGTAACGACTGAATAGACCACGCAGAACTTGAATCGTCTTGGAGGAAGTTGTCGAATCCATCACATGGACTTTGGCCATTTTGAGTGTTCGTCAACAACTACCTGAAACATTCGTCTTTCAAATGGACCAGCGAAATCGATGTGAATTCGCTGCCAATGAGCTTCTGGCCATGCCCAGGGATGTAGAGGTGAGAGAGAGACATGGAGATTTTTTATTTTGTTGACAGGACATGCAGGTCTTTGATTTTTCTACAATTTGAGAGTAAATATTTGGCCACCAGATGTAGCAACACAGTCTCACTCCCTACTCGTCAAATGTCTGACGCATGGTCAAGGACCCCTGGCGTCAAGTTTCAACGAAAAAGGTATACCCTTGATGTTGTTTTTCGACGCGGGGGTCCGTCAGATAGACATTCATGTTAATCCCTCATCGTCGAATATAGACGAAAGGAAATCAACTGTCCATCAACGGTGATGCCGACGCTGATGCCGTCACTTTATGCGACTATTGCAACCCAGTCTCACGGCAATTCGTGATATGGTCACGTAATTTAATCTATTGATTCGTGACACGGACACGTTTATTTCGTTATATCAGCACGTTTTTTAAACTAATGTATTTCAATGGGAATCATCTTTCGTGATCACAGCACGATTAATTCTGCCTGTCAGGCTGCAGCAGAGAAGCTGTTTAATCAACATTTATTCACGAGATCTGATCATGGTATGTATTTCTTTTAATGTTATTATTTCGGTCTTATTGCCAGGGAAGCTTGCTTTGCTGTTTATTGATATTTTTTAAATTATATTTTATCAATAGGAAATCGCGCTGAAGAAGTCTCATTCCAGACACATCGCGATATTTGGCATTAGGTCACGTGTGCCAGATGTTGGTAAGTATTCATAACTGTACTAATAATGATTGATATAGGCTAATGTATTTTCTGTTTGTCGATATTAATCAGATTAGCTTACGTTCAGTCACTGCATTTTATCTGTCATCTCCACAGAGGCTTTGCGTTTCATTGCTTTCTAATTCAAAACAGGGTGATTAAAACTGTTTGTCACGTGACGTTATAGGCCTAGAACTTTAATCAGGTAATCATATTCATATCAGGTTTAAAGTAGTACAATTAGTTCCAAAGTTGTATTTGTAGTAGAAGCTTACCATAACATTTACCATGCTTTTACCACAGTACATTAGTTTTACTGTGATAAGTGTATGAAAAAGACTGTAATCACAAAACTTAGCATTCTTTTACCTCACTATTGGTAGTTTTAATGTGATACTTAATGTAAATGCACAGGAACCACAACACTTTTACTACAGAAACCCTAGGTTTACTGTGATGGGTGTAGCAAAGGACAGTAATCACAAAACATACCATGCTTTTACCTAAGTATTGGTAGTTTTAAAGTGATATTTGTTGTAAATGGATATTAACCACAACACTAACCATGCTTTTAATGCTTAATAATGTAACATCCTATTTTTGTAAGTTAAATCAGTACTTTTTCCTTTAAATAATCCTATATATTATACATAATGATATTTTCTTTTCTCTTTTTTCAGCTGAAAAGACCAAAAGGGCCTTTCGGACTCAGGCGACCCATTGTTGTTTGAGGACAAGTTAACCGAGGAGACGGACAGCTGCAAAGGCAAATATTCGCAATGGTATGTATGTGCTGGTTTTAACCCTAAATCAAACATTTTATAAAAGCATTTGTAGTTTCTTAAACATTTTTTTACAAAACCCATAGCCCAATCAGTACGAACATAGTCTCAAAGTCTTAATAATTCACAAGATTTAACAAAGTTGTAAAATTCGTACGATATTCATACATATTTGTATAGTATACTCGTACATAATCCTGCAGCTTTTACTCCTAGTGCTGTCATTGGCCACTTCCTATTCCTGTACATTTATGGCGATTTTTGTAATTCAGTTGCGCCCCTTCTTGGAAAGTAGTCAGATGTCCCACACACTGTCAGAAAGTTTATATTAATTGCATTGTATTCATTAAAATTGTTACAAATTGGTCCCTGTCTGTTCATTTTCCAATGATACATGATTTCTCTTCACACATGATGTTTTATTAACAAAGTTCGGGAGGAGCACGTTCAAATAATTGATCCAATTATCACTTCATTCCAACCAGCTGTCGACCATCAGTAATCAACATGTCTATCCAATCAGCTCGAGTTGGAGACCTATATATATACACACATTTGACTCACCAATGT